TAATGTTTACATTCATAAAAATATCTATCACTTTAATATTTTACAAGTTATAGTTATAGCGACAGACTGTTATGTGTAAATATCATGGCCTGATGCGACATCGAAGGTTTAAAATAAATATGCAAATCTTCTTTGATCTTTTTTTAAAAGTTTATCACTAACTTTCTTACAGCATCATAACAAATTCAAACACGCTTCACATTACTTCCCTATTAAGCAGACAGTGCAGTCGAGTGAATAATTAATTAATTAATGCATGGTAGCATAAAAAGGGAAAGATTGCAGTACACACGACGTCAATAAGTCAAAATAAGCAAAGCCTTCCCACCATATCTACGTATTTTCAAAACCTTTCGTATACAGAATGTCTTAATTATATCTCTTTCTATATGGATACTATGTTCAAGCTCGTCTCGTGAAAATGTGTCTGTTTCGGATAATATTATTTACTACAGAATGATACACAGTAGAATAAATTATAGATTGCTGTATGAAAGTGATGCGTAATTATGTTGCTATTTTTTATGTTATGCACATATGAATCTCTTCAGCACATCTGGAGCTCAAATGCAATTTTGAGCAGAGATTCCCTTGTATGTAGCCAAATCTCAATAAATGTTTAAACCTGGATTTGTTTGAATGTTTAGTATCGACCTGTAGTGAGATTTCGTAAAATCTCTGTTTTTTGAGTCCGTTTAGTCACATTTTCTTCATTCACATTGCATGTTTTGGACACACCAGAACCCACGACGGAAAGAATATCTCGATGAAGACTGCATAGAAATCTAAAACAACAATGGGTAATATAGACGAGAGTCAGGAGAGTAGAATCACATTTCGATTTTCTTAAAAAAAGGATTGGATTTTATATAAATGTTTGAAAAGATGAAAACTTACCCTGCGATCGGCCTATTTTTCCAGCCACATCTGGTGTTATGCTTCACATCTGGTGCAGCCGAAATTCACATATCATTTTTACCGATGCTCATTTTTGAGATTCATATGGGGTTCCACCCCCGTGTGAATTACGACGACAGGACTTTGTAAAATATTTACGTAATTTATGATAGCTATAGCCTTGTTAAAGAAGTTTGCCAGTAATAAAAAAATTGCGTTCATTAGAATCATCCACACGACAGCAGGGCCAGTCTAATTAACTTAGAAATATATATACCCAATATGATGTTGCATGAAGTACATGAGAACAGTTAACAACGTTATTTAAAAAAAACAATTATCATAGATTTTAGTTACTATGTTATTGTTAATGATAGAAATGTTTAAATTTGAAAATATTAAGAGTTTGTTTTATGCATTTTACGTTCACTTGGATATATTTAAGATTTCAATTGATCAAATTTGATTGTTCATGTTGAGGATATCATCTAGGTAGCGGTAAATGCTATTTAATGTAATGCTTCCGGTTGTGAAATAGTAGAGAGATTAACATAAAATCCCTCTAGTAACAATATAAAACGTTAATATAAAGTAAGCTAACATATCATTGTCATTATGATTGTAAAAAAGAGGAAAAGAGAATATCCTTTGAGAGCAATTAAACATGGCAAAATAGATAAATACAGAATCCCTAAAGAAAGCCCAAAACGGCAAAATTGAAAATGTTGCAGGCTCGGTTTGATTGAGCCTGTTCATGGACGGTACTGGAAAGTGCAAATTACCGTCCACGCCCCCTAGCACCGGCTTGAGCAGAAATCAACATTTAAACATGAAATAGTAAAATTTTGAATTTAGAAACATCCGCAGATGTGTTCATACGACGGTTATCATGGAACCTTCAATGTGACACTGTAGTGCCATTCCATGAAAAGCGGCGTATGGTCCCCAAGTAATAAAAAGCGTGTGCCCTAAACGAGAAAACAATGGGCGGAACTAAATAAAATGGAATTTTGAAAGGGGATCAGAGGTTATGAAGCCTGAGTATCACAGATAAGACGTCAAAAGACAAATTTAAAAAGCAGACAACATATCCTAAGGGTGATTCAACATTATTCAAGTGGAAATATTGGAACCACCCAACTAGAAATGCCGAAAAGTTGAAACTAAAAATACCACAAGCACAACAATAATGTCGTGCTGAACGATCTTCAAGGAACGAAAATATAACATCATTGATTAAATGTACGGGGAGACTTTTTACAGTTGATGATTCAAACTCAGTTTGATGGGGTCTGTTGTTCATGAGAGACCATATCTCACGTCTCTTAGTACCGACTAAGTAGTATCTAATCCTCAACTAAAAAAGTTTTGCAATCATTGATCCTGAAGGACCAAGTCGTCCGGTTAGCTCAATAGGTAGAGCGTTGGACTGTGAATCGGGCAACCCGTGTTTGATTCCCGGACGGGGCAGGTCACTTTCGTTGTGATTTATCATGAAATAGTTTTTACGGTTATTCGCACTGTACCACTGCTCTGCTATGTACAGAAGTTTCAGTTCCTTGCGAAAGTGAGGGCAACTTGTACTGGTAATCTTGACAGTCTGTCCAGTTACGATTCGGTGGCTGAACTGTGCTCTGGTAAATTCAATATTGTTGCTGCCGTGACCCGGATTAAAAACTACCGACACAAACACCAACATCCCGAAGGACCTATTAACATAACACTATAACACTGTTAACCTGCTGTTGCAGACTCAGTTTGATTGAGCCTGTTTATGCACGGTACTGGAGAGTGCATGTTACTATACGCCCCCAGCACATAGTATTACTATCAAGTACCCGCCAGGGAAAATATTACCCATTTTTGTCCAATTGAAAGCTCTTCTTAATTCCTCCCATGAAGTTAACAACAAAATTGAAACAAAATGCTCAAAATCATTCACAGGAGCTGTCAGTAGGACAGCGTGCTTGACTATTCTCAGTGCTTGATAGTAAAAAAATGGAACATAATATTATAAAAAAAGGTTGATACTGTGACCTCCTCTGTACACAGGTTGAGATTATGATGGTGAACAAGTGTGCAAGGTCTCAAAGCAATATGTCTATGGAATTTTGAAATAGGCTAAGGTGGTTATGTAAATTTAAATTTAAAAAAGGGGCATACTACTGCCAAAATCCCCCAGTGTTCAAGTGGAGGGCATGATGGTAGATGGTAAACAAGTGTGCAAGTTTCAAAGCCATATGTCAATGGACTTTGAGATGGTACGCAAACTTTAACGCCGACGCTCGGGCGACTAGGATAGTGGTCCTTAATCGTCGAATAGTTTTTCTAAAAAGAGATTGCCCTCATAATATATATTTTCAATTCACTCAATATATATATATTTATATAATATTTTATTCATAATTCAGATCCAGTGTAGCAGAAATGTCTCTTACTGTAAACTGAATAATCTACCCATTTTAAATGTTCTAGCAAATTGCATTTTACATTTTAATGTTTAAATCATATCCGTCATCAATTATGACAAAACTCCAACTATGGTTCAATTGAAGATTATCATATGTTAAGCCGATGCCTGCATGTCAGACAACACGCTTGAATATTTAAAATCAATAGCCTGCATTATAATGAATTTGTTTGGGTCTCAGAATTGTCAGAAAGGTGAAGGTTGTGAGACTATAAAACAATTTGTTTTTGTATAGTGCCACCAATGCTTTCCAGCGTTTTAATTGTAGTAAATTGGCTATAAGACTAATTGAAACACTGATATTCAATGTTTATTTGACTTAAACAATTTGAAAGAAAAAATGAGTTGCCTTAACTCGGATTTGAACTCCAGACCGCTCGCTTCCTAAGCGAGGGCGCAAACCCCACGGCATCTAGTTTGCTTGAAAATTAATGTGCCTGTCAAATGACAATCTTTACGCAGTGATCTCCCCTGAATTTTTTAGCATAAGTGTACATAGAAAGGGAAGTACATGTAACAGCTTAAAAAAGCGGAGTTCTTTCTGCATTTGCAATTAACAGCATCAGGTTCTGAAATTTCGCTATCATTATTTGTTTCTTCTGACAACCCAAACAAATAATAAAAACATGTTAGAGGGAAGTAACCTACAATAATGATCTCAAAGATGTGTTTAGTTTCAAGTGCATTACCTCAATGCTTGTGGAGATAAATCTTGTCCGAGAAATTCTGTAAGTTAATGAATAGATTATTTCCTAATAAATGCTTAGCTTATGGGTCTTGGACAGTGACATACAAGTATAATCAAAATCACATTTGAAGACCAGCAATGAATGTTTATGGCTAAGGAGAAAAAAAAACTTGCAAACAAATCCTTAACAAAAGGCTAGCACAAGGTCAACGCAAATACCGAACTGCAGGTCAATAAATTAGTTCCTTATTGTGTGCATAAAACAAATAAAGAGATATTTAAACATTTAGACACACATACAGGGCATTTGCTATGAAAGGTAAGATGTCTCATTACTAACCAATTAAATAAAATTGATAATCTTTTTAATATCACTATTATAATATAAAACAAAAAAGTATTTAATTTAAAGTTGACTCCCCGTTCGTAATACCCCACCCACTTTGTATATGAATTTAGATCAATAAAACACATTTATGGCAAAGGTCGCCTATAATTACTTATTCTAAATATGTGTAGATATAGTTTTAAAGCTGTATTAAACGAAATCATGAATTTTTTCAGTTTAAACAAGAATAAAACTAATAAGTTACACATATTCAAAAAAGGACACCCAGTTAGCAACATATTTGTTCTTCTTTCGTTAAAATTAGGCGATGAAAACTAGAAAAAAACCTAATAAAGTCAAAATTTATAGCATGAGTAAGTTGAAAATAAGAAGTTTTATGCAAAATTTCAATTGATTTACAAAACTGAAAAAGGAAATAAACCAACGTAAATATACTAGAATATTTAGGGATTTGGCGGCCATCTTTGACGCCATCTTGGATATCTTAGCTTCGCATCGGGGTTGGGCCAAATGAATATCCATTCCAGACACTACAGATCCAGACGAACATTTTGGTATATGAAACTTGCTGTTGGCATGATGCAAAAAAGGAAAGTAAGGGGAAAATATGAAAACATATTTAGTAATTTCACAGAATAAATTTGAAATTTTTGGATTTTGAAAATTTCTATTGCATGTTAAGGAAGGAATGTGGAACAATGATTATAATAGTTAATGATTTTTTTAATCGTTTGATTTCACTTTCTCATCAAAAACATTGAAAATAGGAATCTCTTTTAAAGCCAGTGTTGAGTTTGCAGCACTTTATTTTAACTCAGTGGACAACCTAGAATCTGAAAACTGAGCATTTACCTCACTGTTCCATCTTTCTTTACAGCTTTTGGTCTGTCTACATGTTTGTTATGATCGATTGCAGCCAAATAGTTTCTGACCCTGTAAACAGGTGTAAACTGCTGTTTTGTTTCTGCCTGTTTACAAGTAAACCAAAAGTGGTTCACAATATCTTTAATCCACGGCCCAAGTACTCTGTTACCTTTCTTCATTGCTATCTATAAAATATGAAAAGTTATATTTGAATGATACTTTTCCCTCCATTATTTTCCTTTTATATCATGCAAAATAATGTTGTATTATTTATTTCAAGTATAAAGCATTGTTAATCTAAATGTAAATTTTATACATAAAAAAAAATAATAAAATAAAATACCTTTGTTATCTTTTTCCCTAAGTTTTTGGCAGCATGCCATATGTCATGTGAATGCTGGATCTTGTCATAGTCTGGTGTTTCTATAAAGACAACACATACTTGAGTCAATATTGATAAAAAAGAACATCATACTGCTGCAATTCTAACATACATAAAAAAAATCATATTTTAACAGATCAAAAGCGGGAAGGTAAAAGAGTGAAAGCCATCAGATAAAATATTTTAATGTTATTATTCACCTACAAGTTTTCAACAAAAATATATCAGGAAATATATCAGGCAAAAGAACTACTATTATAAAAGATATGGAATAAAAAAAGATTTTTATTAAACGCTGTGCATTATACTTACTCATTAGTGCTCCAATACCCAGGTGTGCATCAGTTACAACCTCCTTAACTGTAACTTCCTTTGATTTCAATTCATTCATGGCTGCTTGGAAGCCTAACTTCTCCATAGCTGCGGATTTTCTCCCTGTCATTCGCTTATCTATTGTCTGAATCGTCAGTATTTGTTTTGATGCGTTATCCATAAGGGAGTATGAGCAATATTGAGCACAATGACCAGGACTATCATTTCGTCCATCCCCTGCAAAGTATAAATGTAACCTATTACATTTTAAGTCAAACGTCATGGTCAAAATGATCCACTTTAGATTTAAAGCACAGAGTGACCTATCATGCTCACAAATAAGTGTTTTAAGTTTCAACTTTTTCCCTTAAGTACTCTTTGAGATACAAACTTCAATATGATAAAACTAATCCCAAGTGTGACAATACTGCAACATCGCATGATCTGGGTATTGCTATTTTTTGATTACTGAAGATGAATATAATGACCAATTTTATAGTTCCTTGACAACAATGGATGACATGACTTGAGCAACAGCTAAAACTTGTTTTTTAAAAATGACTGATGACAGACAAATCACAGCACCAACAGATGAGGGTCACAATAGGATTAGGCTCAGTTGAGCACAAAACTGAGTTAACTTATTTTTTATAAAACCATTGAAACTAGTTGTCAAAGAGGCCAACTGAATTATATACATTTATCTATACCTAAAACAACAACATCTCCTTCACAAGTTGACAAAACTTCTTCCTGATGTCTCTCCCAGTAGCTGTCGATAGCTGGAACCAAGTAGTGGGTTTGTATTCTGCTGAACTGGCTTGCAGAGGGGAACTTGAGCTGTAACATCTGGGCCCACAGGGACAGCTTCCCAAAATTGTTCCCAGAAGTCAGAATGGTTGCACAAATCAAAAAATCGCCGCTGTTCATCCTTCTGTTGAGGACTGGCTGTGAACGCCATTCAGCTGTAATGTGGCCAGATTGACAAACCTTGAAGATAAAAGCACATTAACATAATATATATGAGATGACAAGATAAATATGGTATTAAGTTATTTCTTCGGAAAGTTTGTTAATTTAAACACTTTTTAAATTGTAAGTACACATAATAAAATGTTCTGAACAAAATATTATGCTGCTTTTTTAATTACAAATTTCATTCTTTAGCAATGATTTTCATATATGGGCCAATTGCTTGAAAGGTAAAATTTTCGAATATAAAACAGTCATACAGGTGGACTTAAACCTTGTAAATACAAAACAAACAGGTTTTATGGGGGTTTTTTTTCCCCATGAATAAATTGTAAATTTCAAAGTGGTTTTGGTAAATCTATAAATTTTCCTAGAAAAAGGCCCCCCCATTTTTAAAAAGCCCGAAAAATTCTTAAATATGGGGTATTTTTTTTGTAAATAATGGGGAAAATTAAAAGCCAAAAAAATTTTAAGGGAATTTACAAAAAGAGGCTAAATATTTGGGCAAGGAAAAAGGGGAAATTTAAAACTCTAAAAACTCAGGTTAATTCTTGAAAATTTTAAAATATGGGATAAATTCATCTGTTTGGGGGTTGGCCCCGGGTTGGGATTTAAAAAAGTTTCAAATCGAAAAAATTTTTCTTAAAAATTTATGGTTGGTTTATGTTCTGTGAAATAAAATTTTTATAAAAAAAACCCCTAACCCCTTTTAAAAGGGGCACACAAGATCCAACATATGTTTCTTTAATCGCTATGCTCTCTGAAGAACATGTTTTGCACTTCTTCACTGTCATCTCTGCCAGTGTCAAAAGCTGCTTTACAAAAACTAAAACCTTCACTTCTTCTGCCAGCCCACCACATGTGTCATCATCTATATTTGTTTCCTCTCTGTCACTTTCCTCTTCTTCACTCGCCTGATCTTCCTCTCTTTCTAGTCCAAACTCAGCCTCCTCATATGCAACATCTTCATAATCTTGTACTTCCTTAGGTCTGAAATATAGGAATTTATAAAATGAATAAATATTATCTGAACACACAATTTCAACTTTAATTAAATATAAAATTATTTTAAAACATAAACATGATATTAAAAATTTAAAAAAGAAAAGAAAAAACCCAGTTAAAAATGCATATGTTTGTAAAACATGTATGCCTCCTAATGGACCTATCAGCAGCTAATTAGTCATGTGGCCAAGTTATCTAATAACCAAACAAGAGGGCCATGATGGCCCTAAGGTTGCTCACCTGTATGTAGGCCCCCGGAGCGGGGCCAGTTTAAACCCCAGGGCTTTTATTTTTGAACAAACTTGGAAGACACCTATAAGAAGACGTTTCATGATGTACACACTTATAATGAAAAACAATGATCTGCCCTCCCCTACCCCCGGCAGGACCAATTTTAACCAAGGGCTTTTATTTGAACAAACTTGGTAGACACCCATAAGAAGATGTTTCATGCTAAACATCTAAGCTGTAGCTCATTGTGTTTTTTTAAAGAAGATTTTTTAAGTTTTTACTATACACATATAGTTAAAAACAATGACACCCCTGGGGCGGGGCCAGTTTTGACCCCAGGGCTTTTATTTGAACAAACTTTGTAGACACTTACTAGAAGATGTTTCATGCTTAATATCTTAACTCTAGCTATTTAGGTTTTTTCAAAGAATACTTTTTAAGTTTTTGATATACACATATATAAGGAAAATCAATGACCCCCGGGGCGGGGCCAATTTTGACCCCAGGGCTCTTATTTGAACAAACTTGGCAGACACCCATTAGAACATGTTTCATGCTAAATATCTTAGCTCTAGCTCTTTGAGTTCTTTAAAAGAAGATTTTTTAAGTTTTTACTATTTACATATACATATAGGGAAAATCAATGACCCCCTGGGGCGGGGCCAATTTTGACCCCAAGGCTTTTATTTGAACAAACTTGGTAGACACCCATTAGAACATGTTTCATGCTAAATATCTTAGCTCTAGCTCTTTGAGTTCTTTAAAAGAAGATTTTTTAAGTTTTTACTATATACATATAGGGAAAATCAATGACCCCCTGGGGCGGGGCCAATTTTGACCCCAGGGCTTTTATTTGAACAAACTTGGTAGACACCCATTAGAACATGTTTCATGCTAAATATCTTAGCTCTAGCTCTTTGAGTTCTTTAAAAGAAGATTTTTTAAGTTTTTACTATATACATATAGGGAAAATCAATGACCCCCTGGGGCGGGGCCAATTTTGACCCCAGGGCTTTTATTTGAACAAACTTGGTAGACACCCATTAGAACATGTTTCATGCTAAATATCTTAGCTCTAGCTCTTTTGGTTCTTTAAAAGAAGATTTTTTAAGTTTTTACTATATACATATAGGGAAAATCAATGAACATGTTTCATGCTAAATATCTTAGCTCTAGCTCCATGAGTTCTTTAAAAGAAGATTTTTAAATTTTTACTATATGCATGCATACAGGGAAAATCAATGACCCCCTGGGGCGGAGCCAATTTTGACCCCAGGGCTTTTATTTGAACAAACTTGGTAGACACTCATTAGAACATGTTTCATGCTAAATATCTTAGCTCTAGCTCTTTGGGTTCTTTAAAAAAAGATTTTTTAAGTTTTTACTATATGCATATAGGGAAAATCAATGACACCCTGGGGCGAGGCCAATTTTGACCCCAGGGCTTTTATTTGAACAATCTTGGTAGACACTCACTAGAAGATGTTTCATGCCAAATATCTAAGCTCTAGCTCTTCGGGTTCTTTAAAAGGAGATTTTTAAAGTTTTTACTATATGCATATAGGGAAAATCAATGACCCCCTGGGGCGGGGCCAATTTTGACCCCAGGGCTTTTATTTGAACAATCTTGGTAGACACTCATAAGAAGATGTTTCATGCTAAATATCTAAGCTCTAGCTCTTCGAGTTCTTTAAAAGAAGATTTTTTAAGTTTTTACTAGGGAAAATCAATGACCCCCCTGGGGCGGGGCCAATTTTGACCCCAGGGCTTTTATTTGAACAATCTTGGGAGACACTCAAACTAGAAGATGTTTCATGCCAAATATCTAAGCTCTAGCTCTTTCGGTTTTTTAAAAGAAGATATTTAAAGTTTTTTCTTTTGGTTGCCATGGCAACCAGAGTTCTGCATGGAATTAAATTCTTTGAACAATTTTTAAAGGTGACCACCAAAGGAACATTCCTGTGAAGTTTGGATGAAATTGGCCAAGTGGTTTATGAGGAGATGTCATTTAAAGTAAAAGTTTACGGACGGACGACGGACGGACGGACGCCGGACGAAAAGCGATCACAAAAGTTCACCCTGTCACTTTGTGACAGGTGAGCTAAAAATGACTAGAAATGTGTCATCATGCCACGGATGCCCCCGCATGCAGCCAAAATTTCAAATGTTATAATATTTAGTTCCATATTTGTTTGCACAAATTATTTTTTTCATTCTAGGTTCAAAGCACTTTTCAATGTTAACACAAACCATTTTTATACAATGTTCAAGGCACTGAAATTATTCAGTCTTAACCTTTTGAAAATAGCATATTGCATATTTATAGCCAAAATAATGGCTAATTTATTATACATTTCCAGAAAAGTATGAGTGCTTCAGAAACTGAAAGTTCAAAAATTTTCCAACATTCAGGAAAGATAAGTTTGTCCAAAATCATTGAACCACGACCAAATTCAAACTTAAACTGCTTATTCCTAAGATGTATCTATATTATTTTCAAAGTAAAAGGGACATAACTCTGCCAAAAAATCATCAAACCATGACCAAATTCCAACTTGACCTGCGCTTAATTCCTTTGACATATCCATATGTCAATTTTGAGTTGAATATGTAACACTGTTGGGTTATTAATGAACAGAAACTTTAAATTTCATATCATTTTCAAAGTGAAAGGGGAATTACTCTGCCAAAAATCATTGAACCATGACCAAATTCGAACTTGGCCTGCGCATTCCAAAAACATATCCATATGTCAAATTTGAGTTGAATGTGTAATACTGTTGGGGAGGTAATAAACGGAAACTGAAAATTTCATATTATTTTTAAAGTGAAAGGGGCATAACTCTGCCAAAAATCATCACACCATGACCAAATTTTAACTTGACCTGCGCATTCCTTTGACGTATCCATATGTCAAATTTGAGTTGAATGTGTAATACTGTTGGGGAGATAATAAACGGAAACTGAAAATTTCATATTATTTTCAAAGTAAAAGGGGCATAACTCTGCCAAAAATCATCGAACCATAACCAAATTCGACCTTGACCTGTATTTTCTCATGACATATCCATATGTCAAGTTTGAGTTGAATGTGTTTTACCATTGGGGAGATAATGAACGACAACTGAAAATTTCATATTATTTTCAAAGTGAAAGGGGCATAACTCTGCCAAAAATCATCGAACCATGACCAAATTTGAACTTGACCTGCGCATTCCTTTGACGTATCCATATGTCAAGTTTGAGTTGAATGTGTTGTACCATTGGGGAGTTAATGAACGGAAACTGAAAATTTCATATTATTTTCAAAGTAAAAGGGGCATAACTCTGCCAAAAATCATCGAACCATGACCAAATTCGAACTTGACCTGTATTTTCTCATGACATATCCATATGTCAAGTTTCAGTTGAATGTGTTGTACCGTTGGGGAGATATTGAACGGAAACTGATAATTTCATATTATTTTCAAAGTAAAAGGGGCATTACTCTGCCAAAAATCATCGAACCATGACCAATTTCGAACTTGACCTGTATTTTCTCATGACATATTCATATGTCAAATTGGAGTTCAATATGTGCAACGGTTATTAAGATAATGAACGGAAACTGATGATGACGGAAGGACGGAAGGACGAAATGACGGAACAGGGTAACACTATATGCCCCTGCCATTATATGGCGGGGGCATAATAATAAAAAAATTGCACCTTTTATCAAGTCAGCATAAAACTGTGGTTCGAGGGCCCCTACAGAGACATATTTGTCATCTTTAGTTTTGTAAGTACCATAGAATGCTGTCCCACCATCTAGATTGTTCTCTCCCCTTTTACCTGGCCAGATAGGTATATCTCTTGAAGTCCAAAGGAATGTTGCTAAATATAGAATGCTAAATATAGAAATGCTAAATATAGAAATGCTAAATATAGAAATGCTAAATATAGAACACACATCATGATGGTGTTTATGTTACAATCTAAAATAACACGTAAGTAAATATTGACTCAAAAC